ATCATGGGGTAATTTTCATTTTTGGGTGAACTATTCCTTTAAGTGCATTAAAGATGATATACATACTGTACATACACACTCTACTTACATATAAACAACTGATATAAATCATTCTTACGGTGTGATTTACAAAAGTTGAAATTGTTAAACTTTGAATAATAGGTTACAGCACTTGACCTGCAAGCTACGTAATACAGGGTCGCACTGTAGATTGACACTTTGCATTAGAGAAGGCTGGTGTGATTCATATGAAAGGGACTTTAGCTTCAAAACATAAAAAGCCTAAACCCAGATGTCTTTGCTTTTGTCCTGTGTTTGTACCTTAACTGTCTCATTCCAGCAGGGCTGCTTGACTTGATAGTAGATGACAGACTTGTATTCAGTGATCCCTTCATAACCAGCTCCAGGAAATATGGCTTTCTGAAGAGAGAATGAGAATGTGGGGAGAAAAATATATATATACTGGAAGAAAATAGTTTCTATTTTCTCGTACAGTAAGTGGTTTGCAGCAGTAAAAGTTCAACGTTAACAAGACCAGAAGTTGGCAGTACACAACTTGAGTTAAAGGAAAGCTCAAATCTCTTAAAAGAGGGGGAGATCTTTTAGGAAAGCATTTCAGAACGACTTACTTGTATTCTTCTGTGTTCGCGAGTGTAAACAGGACACGCTTATATGTGCATTATATCTTGAAATAGCATTTGGCAAGAACAGCGCTGTATACCAAGCTTTCTGTGCTGCGTGTTTGGACATTTAAAGACAGCAGCCGTTTCATAAAGTAAAAAGATCTGCCAGCTGTTTTTATGCCAGCAACAGTTCTGCTGTCAAAACACAGAGATGAAGGGGGTGGATGAGCACCGCATGCTAAACAGCGAAAGCGAAAACTGTTAGTCAACATAAACGAGAAGAACGGAGGACAATGGAATGGAAGGTGTTTTTTATTCATATTAAAATGACCTTGGCGGCATTTCCTAAAAAGTTAAGCCACGGTAATACCATGTTTTTTGGTACACTTGACGCAAATATATGCAACTGAAGCTGTTTCCATGTAACATTTCTATTAAATCAGTATTCACTTCATGGATTTACAAGAAAGTACACTTTATTAAGCGATGGTGTGGGAATCTCCTAATTGCGCCCAGACATTAATGTTAGTTAATATTTAATGATACGGGGTTTCTGTACCTCCATGGGATTTCCTTCTTCATCCAACACGCTCATTATAACTTCTACATTTTTGGGGGTTTTCTTCTTGCCACGATCAAATTCTCCTTGTAGCAGCGTAACATATATATCATTCCTTACATAACCTGTAGAGACATACAGTAGAGACATCGTTGCATTAACTAGATCTATGTTCTTCAACTGTCTAGTAATGGTCATTAGAGGAAAAGGATGAAAAGACAACTGCAAGCGGATTTACTAAAGAGGGTCTTTGTGGATCAGAAAAACTTTAATAGCACTGCTATTAAGATGAAGATGTTACGATCTGACAGATGTGCAAGACCAACCTGGCAGGATAATTTCAGGGAAGCCCATTTTCCTGACTATAGCTGTTGTGCGATCCACAAAATGAGGGTAATGTTTTTGAACCTGAAACACATCTCCAGGGAGCAGCTTTAGGGTCACAAACAAACCTGAAAGCAAAAACATGGCGTTATAAGGTCAGACGGGTCTCGTCAGTCAACAAACTCCAGCCCTGAGGGAGCAGAATCTCTCAGTACAAACTAAATCATTTCAGAATCAATGACTAATATGTAAAATAAAAAACTAATTTTAAAAAATGTATTAAAAATGGAAAAATTAAATTAAAAAGAAAAAGAAATATACTTCAAGAGTGAAAAAAGAATGAAAATAAAAAGAGTTTCAACTCAACATCAAAAATTACAAACTCAATATAAAACACATTAGCTAAATGTGTGCATTTAAAACAATGTCCCAGATTATTTTGTCTGAATATTGCACCATTCTCACTTTGGGACTATTATAAATAGCTGCTAAGCAATACAGATTTTTTAAGGTGTTAATGTGTTAAGGCCGATAAAATGTATAATCATAGAAAATGAGAGGTACACATGTATGCTGAAATTATTATGCAAGGTATTTTTACAACATATTCCTAAAATACTTTATAGTAGAAATGTATTATTGTCTTTTACATGTTCACAATTTTTAAAAAGTGCTCTAAAAATATTTTAAAAGTGATTTTTTTAGTTTAAAATCAACTGTACAAAAACGCATTACCATGGCTGATTTAGCAATGAGGTTTTCTAGGATTTTTTAAATAAATGTAATATTAACTAAATTAATAAAACTTCAAGTTGACCCAAAAAAACTCTAATTTCATAAACTATTAAACTGGTCAGGTTGGTAGTAATCATTACTGACAGCTATAGTAATCTTCCCAATTAAATACAGAGTGGAACTGGCATTTTAAAAAGAGACAGAATTTTTAAAATTGGATGATATTCAAATTTACAGCCGAAACATCCTGGAGGACGTGCATCTTCACATCTCATTCTGTCTCTATGCAAATCAGTTTGACTATATCAAAGTGATCCTGTTTTCATTCTCTCAAACTTTCCAAATATTCAAGCAACAACCAAGAAACTTCCACAAGGTCAGATTTCTCCCCAGAGACAAAAACATAAGAGCAAAGATTAATTTTTTGGCCTATTGGTCTGGATTTACCCTGTCCTTTGTGGTTG